GACGGGACAATATATAGGAGGTTTCATTGGGTGGTAAAAAATGTTCTGAAATTATATAGTAGTGATGGTCACATAACTTTGTGAATATGCTAAAACCATTAAATTTTTCAAAAGAATTTCCATCACATCTACAGACTTAAAGAAATCACAGAATCTTATCAATAGATGAAGAAAAAGCATTTTACAAAATTCAGACCCATGTACAAAAAAAACTCTCAGTAAACCAGAAATATTCTTCAACTTGATAAAGACTATCTAGAAAATACCTACAGCCAATATCCTACTTAATAATTAGAAACTCAGGAACACCTGAGTGGCTCAGTTGATTAAAGTGTCTGCCTTTGATAAGGAAGATGTGGTATATGTATACAATGGAATGTTACTCAGCCATTAGATACGACAAATACCCACCATTTGCTTCTACATGGAGGGACCTGGAGGTCCTGGAGCAAATTTCACATGCTGAGTGAAATAAGTCAATCAGAGAAGGACAAACATTATATGGTCTCATTCATTTGGGGAATATAAAAAATAGTGAAAAGGAATAAAGGGGAAAGGAGAGAAAATGAGTGGGATATATCAGAGAGGGTGACAGAACATGAAAGACTCCTAACTCTGGGAAACGAAGAAGGGGTGGTGGAAAGGGAGGTGGGCGGGGTGTTGGGGTGATGGTGACGGGCACTGAGGGGAGCACTTGATGGGATGAGCACTGGGTGTTATGCTATATGTTGGCAAATTGAACTTCAATAAAAAGAAACTTTTTTTTTTTTTTTTTTTACGATAGTCACAGAGAGAGAGAGAGAGAGGCAGAGACACAGGGAGAGGGAGAAGCAGGCTCCATGCACCGGGAGCCCGACGTGGGATTCGATCCCGGGTCTCCAGGATCGCGCCCTGGGCCAAAGGCAGGCGCCAAACCGCTGCGCCACCCAGGGATCCCTAAAAAGAAATTTTTTAAAAAAAGTGTCTGCCTTTGGCTCTGGTCATGATCCCAGGATCCTGGGATTAAGGTCCATGTCAGGCTTCCTGCTCAGTGGGGAGTCTGCCTCTCCCTCTCCCCCTGCCCATGCTCTCTTTCTCAAAATCTTTTTTAATTTTTTAATTGAGAAACTCAATTTCCCACTAAGATCAGGTACAAGGCTGTTGCCTCTCACCACCACTCTTCAGTATCATACTAAACCTCTAGTTATTGCAGTAAGACAAGAAAACAAAAGGTAGACAGAAAGAAAGAAAGAAAGAAAGAAAGAAAGAAAGAAAGAAAGAAAGAAAGAAAGAAAGAAAGAAAGAAAGAAAGAAAGCTGTCTTTGTTCACATAGTACATGACTATAGAAAAGCCTAAAGAATTGACTCCCTGACCACCCCCCCCCCAAAAAAAATCCTCCAGGAATCAGTGATTACGGCAAGGTGCAGCATACAAACATATAAAAGTCAACCACTTCCCTTTATACCAGCAATTAACAAATGGAATTTAAATACAACACTATTGGGATCCCTGGGTGGCGCAGTGTAGCGCCTGCCTTTGGCCCAGGGCGCGATCCTGGAGACCCGGGATCGAATCCCACGTCGGGCTCCCTGTGCATGGAGCCTGCTTCTCCCTCTGCCTGTGTCTCTGCCTCTCTCTCTCATTCTGTGTGACTATCGTAAATAAATAAAAAAAAAAAATTAAATACAACACTATTAACATTAACACCCAAAAATGAAATACATAGGAATATATCTAACAAATATGTAAAGGACCTATATGAGATACTATAAAACTATGATTAATGAAATTAAAAAAAACTAAGGAAATAGAGAGGTATTACATGTTTATGGATAAGGTGACTCAATATTATCCAGATGTCAGTTCTTCCCAACATGATCTTGAGATTCAATGGAATTCCAAATAAAAATCCCAGCAACTTATTTCATGGATATTGACACCCTGATTCTAAGGTTTATATGGAGAGGCGAAAGATCCAGAATAGCCAACACAATACTGAAGGAGAAGAACAGAGTTGTAGGACTGATGCTACCTGACTTCAAGACTCACTCTAAAGTTATAGTAATCAAGACAGTGTGCTATTAACAAAAGAATAAATAGAAAGGTGAATGAAACCAAACAGAGAAAGATTTGCATAAATATACTCAAAGGATCTTTGACAAAAAAAGCAAAGGCAATACAAAGATGGTCTTTTCAACAAATGGCACTAGCATCAATACACAACCACATAAAAAAAATCTAGAAACAGTTCTTACTCATTTGACAAAAATTCCAAACAGATCAAAGACTGAAGAGTAAGAGGTCAAGGTTTAAAACTGGTAGAAGGTAACATAGGGAAAAAAAAAAAACCCACATAACCTTGGGTGTGGCATTGACTTTTTAGATACAACCACCAAAGGCACATCCATGAAAGAATTAATAAGCTATTCTTTATTTGAAATAAAAGTTATTCTGTGAAAGATAATGTCAAGAGAATGAGAAGACAAGCCACAGACTGGAAAGAAAATATTTGCAAAAGGCATACCAGATATAACTGTTTTTCAAAATGCACAAAGACCTCTTAAAACTCAACAGTAAGAAAATAATCCAATGAAAAAAGGAGCCAAAGATCTTAACAGATACCTCAGCAAAAAAAAGATAAACAGATGGCAAATAAACATATAAGAAAACACTCCACATCATATGTCATCAGGGAAATGCAAATTAAAACAATATACTACCATACTCAAATAAGAATGGCCAAAATCCAAAACACTGACAACACCAAATGTTAGGAAGGCTATGAAGCAACAGGAACTCTCATTCATCATTGATGGGAATACAAAATAGCACAGCCACTTTGGAAGACAATTTGGAAGTTTCTTATAAAACTAAACATATTCTTTCCACATGATCCAGCAATCACGCTCCTTGGTACTTACCCAAAGGAGGTGAAAACATATGTCCACATGGTATTTGCAGCAGTTTTATTCATAAATGTTAAACTTGGAAGCAACCAGAGTGTCCTTCAGTATGTGAAAACTGTGATACGTGCAGACAATCAGATATGTGGCACTAAAAAGAAACGAGCTGTCAAGCTATGAAAAGAGAGGGAGGAACCTTAAACACATATTACTAAGTAAAAGAAGCCAATCTGAGGAGGCTACATATCACAGGATTCCAATATTGTAGGGTTCCAAGTAAGGCATTCTGGAAAAGGAGAAACTATGGAGAAAGTAAAAAGTTCAGTGATTGTCAGAGGGATGACCAGACAGAGCACAGATCTTTAGAGGACTGAAAATACTCTGTATGATAACATAAAGGTGATATATGTCATTATAGATTTGTCTAAATCCATGGAATGTATAAAACCAGGAGTGAATTGTAGTGTGCGCTATGAACTTTGGTTGATTATAATGTGCCAGTGCAGGTTTATCAGTTGTAATAAATGTACTGCTCTGGCAGGGGATGGCGATAATGGGGGAGGCTAGCCTGTGTGGGGCCGGGAAGTAGAGGAGAAATCTCTGTACCTTCCTCTGAATTTTGCTGTGAACTTAAAACGGCTTCAAAAAATAAACTATTAATACAAACCAAAAAAAAGGTGAATTTTATGATAGGTGAGTTATATCTCAATAAAAGAGAGAAAGCAAAAGAAAATGAAGTCAAGAGACAGGAAAGGCACCTCGATGGTGCATTCGGTTAAGCATCTGACTCTTGGTTTCTGCTCAGGTCATGATCTCAGGGTCACGAGATTGAGCCCCCGTCAGGCTCCATGCTCAGCACATAGTCTACTTGAGATTCTCTCTGCCTCTCTCTCTGCCCCTACTGCTCACTTGCTCTCTAACTAATAAATGTTTAGAAAAGAGAGAAATAGGAAACCCCATGCCCATTCTATAGAACTTTCAGAAAAAGGATGAAACACTGAGGAAGAGATCCTCAGGAAATAAGGAAGCTAAAGAAAGCCTGTAGCACTTCACAGACTTAATTTTCCAAAGCAAATTAGTAAAAAAAAAAAAAAAAAAAAAAAAAACCTAGGCACATTACAGTAAAATTTCACAGGCTGAGGATAAAAAGAAAAATCCAGACACCGAAAAGCAAAACTCAAACCAGTCACATATAAAGGAGAAAAAAAGGGCAGCCTGGGTGGCTCAGCAGTTTAGCCCCTGCCTTCGGCCCAGGGCATGATCCTGGAGTCCCGGGATCTAGTCCCCTGTCGGGCTTTCTGCAGGGAGCCTGCTTCTCCCTCTGCCTGTGTCTCTGCCTCTCTCTCTGTGTGTCACATGAATAAATAAATAAAATCTTTAAAATGAAGAAGAAAAAGACAGTTGGCTCCAAGTCTTCCAGAGCTGTGCTGACACGACAGAAGTATGCAAACTCCGAAGCATGGCACAGGGTGAGCCAGCCTGAGGACCCTAGAAGGTCTCACTCGGCCTCCTAAGCCTGAGCCCTAAAGCCTGAGAGAAAGCCTGGAGGAGGCAACAACTACAGAAGCAGAGCCTCCGAGAGATCTTTAATTAAAAAGAAAAGAAAAAGGAAAACTACTGAAAAAAACGAAGTCCAATCAACCAAGAGGTGAAATAAAGAATTTACAAATGGAGACACTGTATTTAAAAAATTGATGAACACTTTACCTTACTCAAGTGTCAAACTTATACCAAAAATTAGCAAAGTCCCTCCTAAAATTTATATGAATCCCAAGGGACCACAAATAGGCAAAATAATCTTGAGGAAGAGAAAAAAGTTGGAGGTCTCATACTACTCTGGCCTTCCTACACTGGTACACGGGTGAGGGCATGGACGAGATGGAGTTCACAGAGGCCGAGAGCAACATGAATGACCTGGTGTCTGAGTACCAGCAGTAGCAGGATGCCACGGCCGAGGAGGGGGGAGTTCAAGGAGGAGGCAGAGGAGGAGGTGGCCTAGAGCTGATACCTGGTAAAGCGCGTGGAAGCTGTGTGAACTCTTTATTCGCTCACAACCTGTTCTCTGATAGCCATGTCTCTGTGTTTTTTGTTTTGTTTTGTTTTGTTTGTTTTTTTTAACAGGCAGACTTCTTTTTATTAGTAAAAGTCACAAATAGGAAAAAGGTTAATTGGCTGATTTTGAGGTGTGTGCTTTTAAAAATGTCTGTATTAATATGTTAACAAGAAAAGAAAATACCAAGCACATTTTTGTCTCCCAATTCTGAATTTGCCAGCAAGAGTTGGTGAAATCAGCAGGGTATTAAAACAAAACCCAGGAAAACTCAGTCAATTTTTTTCAGTTGTCTGACTCATTTCTTTCTAATCACCTTCAATTGATTTCCAGTTAGCTGAGGACAACATGACGGTCAAAGACGGATTTTCGCTGCTCTTGAACTTGAAGCTTCCAGAGCTGCTGTGCATACTCTACCTTATTCAGCACATTGGCTCGACTGCGGGAGCGGGCCAGCACATCATGGGCATTTGCAAAAGGCTGGTGATCCCCAACATCGTCATCGCTCTGTATCAATTGTGAGTGTCCAAACAGGCGTCTATTCAGTATGGGTTCAACCAGGGTAAGGTACACCATGTACAGAAGTAGAAGGCCCAAAATGGAGAGATAAATTATAATGGTAACCTTGATTGTAACAGAGCTTCTTTCCTCATATTTGCATTCACAGCGTAGACAGTAGGCTTCTACATCAGGCCCTCGCACAGGCATGGGATCCACAACATGAAGGCAATCGCAATCTTTTTGAGATATGTTCTTATTATAAATATGCCCAGAATTATCTTTATAGGGAGGACAGATACAGATTGTAAAACTCAACTACTACAAAGCTGTGGTAATCAAGACATTGTGGTACTGGCATCAAAACTGATATTTAAACTAATGGAATAGAACAGATAGCCCCAAAATTAACCCTCACATATTTGATCATAAGATTATCGACAAAGTTGCCAATACCATTCAATGGGGAAAGAACAGCCTTTTCAACAAACAGTGCTAGGAAAAAACTGCATATATGCACAAGCAAAAGAATGAAGTTAGACCCTAACCTAACACTACATGCAAAAATTAACTCAAAATGGATCAAAAGCCTAAATATAAAACTGTAAAACTCTTAGAAGAGATGAAAAGCTTTAAGATATTGAATCTGGCAATGATTTCTTGCATAGAACATTAAAAGCACAGACAAAAAAAAAAAGGAAAATCTGAGTTTCAAAGGATACTATCAAGAGTGAAAAGGCAACCCACAGAATGGGAGAAAATATTTGTAAATCATATAACCTGATAAGAGTTATATATATATATATATATATATATATATATATATATATATATATATATATATCCTGGATATTAACCTTTTCCAAATCAACAACATAAAATAACCCAATTAGAAAATAGAAAATAGGCAAAGGACATGAATGGACATTTCTCCAAAGGTAAACAAATAGCCAATAAATACATAAAAAGATGCTCAACATGTCTAGTTATTGGTGAAATGACTAGTAAATCAAAACCACAATGATACACAGTTTCACACCCATGAGAACAGCTACTATTTAAAAAAATGATAAAGAGGATGTGGAGACATTGGAACCTTTGTGCGCTGCTAGAGGGAATGTAAAATAGTCCAGCCTCTGTGGAAAACAATATGATGTCTCTTCAGTAAGTGAAAAGGTAGAATTACTAAACAATTCAACAATTCCACTCCTAGAATATACCCAAAATAACTGATAGCAGGATCTTGGAACAGATATTTGTACACCAACGTTCACAGCAGCATTATTTGCCATAGCCAAAGTTAGAAGCAACCCAAGTATCCATCAACAGATAAAAAGATAAAATGTGGCATATACATCTATGGGATATTAAATCAATCTTAAAAAGGGATGACATTCTCATACATGCTACAACATGGCTGAACTCTGAAAACAGTAGGTGAATTAAGCCAGGTGCAAAAAGACATATATCATATGATACCAATTATATTAGGTATAGAATGGGAAATTCATAGAAACAAAAAGTAGAATAGAGGTTACCAGGACTGGGAGGAAGGGGAAGGGGAGCTAAAGTTTAATGGGTAATGGCTTCTGTTTGGGATGATGAAAAAGTTCTGGAAACTGAGAGTGGTGATGGTTGCACAGCATTGTGAATATACTTGATAACACTGAATTGTGCACTTACTAAAATGGTCAATTTCATATTACATTTATGCCCACAGTTAATACAATTTCTTAATAAAATATTACACATTATATGTGGATTATACGTCTCAATAAAGTTGATTGGCAAAAATTACAAAATTTCATAAATATCCACTATTTAAAGTTCTAACAAAAGGGCATTTTTATAAACACCAACAAGAATGCATGTTAAAATACAATGTTTCTAAAGAATGTTTTAGCAATTTAACAGAAGTCTCAAAACTATTGCCTGTATTTCTTCATTCTAATTCTATGAATCTGCCCTAAGGAGAGAAAGAAAAAAACAGGAACCAAGACTTAAATGCAAAAATGTTCATCAGCATATTTTTACAATGTTATAATATTATCCAAAAATAGGGAACAGGGTAAATTAAATAATCAGACATTCATAGTACAGAAGACATACCTTGAAAAAATTTTGGACAGTTAATGATATTAAAAAATACATAACATATGAGGCACCTGGGTGGCTCTGTAGGGTAAGTGTTCAATTCTTGATTTCAGCTCAGGGTTGAGATCCAGCTTCACAACAGGCTCAACACTGAACATAGTACCTGCTTAAGATTCTCCCTCTCCCTTTCCCTCTGCCTCCCCCTCTGCCACTAAAAAAAAATAAAATAAAATAAAGTACATGTTATAAACATATAAGGGGAAAAGAAACAAAAATTTCAACAGTGACTATCCCCCAGCTAAATTGAGAACCATTACATGCTATTAAGATGATATGACCTGGGTCAGAGATGGCCTCACTGGAAGAAATAGTATTTGAATGGAGAAGACAATAAAAGAAGGTTCCAAGCAGAGGATTTGTCTACCTTATTACTTAGCATTTTCCTCAAACACAAGCTATTTTACAATTAAACTTTAATATAAAAATATCTATTTTTACAAGTCAGCAGGGGGCACCCCATTCAAGGATATAAATTCCAGCTGAAGTGTTAAGTTTTGTTGCTTTCTTTTTAGTGAGCACACCATAAAACTTCTCAAAGTTTTACATGCCCAAAAATTACTTAAAAACCCTATTTGCAATGCCAGGTTTTATCTTGGGGAAGTAAAGGAGATATATAACAAAATTATATATCTTAGGAGATATATAACAAAAATTATTCAAAAGAGCATTTTGTGAATACCTCATTTCTCCCAAATGTTGCCAGTGAAGAATAATTGCCATTCCCACATTTCACAAAAACCCTTTCACCTTTATGTTGCCATATGCTTATCTAACAATAATACAAGATAAGTAGGCTTGATAATACCAAGTACAACCACTATAATCTCCCTGGCCCAACATATACTACCTACCAGTAAGAATCAGGCACCAAGCAAGGTATTTGATACACTTATCTTGCTCAAATTTTATTAACAAACATCTATGAGGTAGATACACCATTCCCATTTTACAGTTGAGGAAACTGAGGCTCAGCACTTAAGGCAATTTGCCCAGCAGGCAGATCTGTCTGAATCAGAAATCCATTTAATTTTATCATCCTACACAGACTCCCCAGGAAGCTGAGACTCAAAAAGAAGTAATCTTCTGGCCTGGTCTCACTGGCACCCAGAGCCTTCTAACACTTCATCTAATGTGCTTTTCACCATGGTACACTGCCTGTATAAGAAGTACACATCCTTCCATCAGGAATTTACACAGCATAATCCCATTAGATTTTAAATAACATCAGAAGGATGTTATTTTATTCAAGTATCACCTAAGGGAAAGAAGTAATCGCAAGAGAAAATGGAGGAGGCAAAACTAGAAGACAGGGATTGTTTGGTCAAGAATACTCAAAAGAAGCACAGTAACAAAGTTTCCAGACATAGTTTATATAATCCTAGACTTAAATTCATAATAATACTATAAGGCCTATTTTGAAATCTTTTTAAATTTACAGTTGGGATGCCTATTACTTGCCTGATTGCCTCAGATTCAGAGTAATTATTATTTAAGTATAGAGTATCAGAATAATGTGTTTTATAAATATGTATGTTGTAATTATTCAACAAATAATAATTTATTAAAATATAAATGTTACTTACATATCCCAGTTTGGAGCTATTCGCAAGTGCTGGATTAGCAATTGGAACTAAAATAAAACAATAAGATGTACATTTCATTCATGAAATGACATAGAAAGTGACTAACACATCTGACCTGTCTACAACTGAAATGTGACTCCTTTATGAGGAAACAACAAAATAAGTTCAAAATCACTGTGTACTCAACTGCTTTTGGACACAAGGATTAAACAGAATAATTTTGGCAAACCTATTATCTTGATACATTTTTTCCCACGGTAATTACATCAAATTAGTATTTTTGCACTAATGTTTTAATCTCAGCAGAAGTACAAGAGTCACGTGCAAAAGGCATGCTGCAAGGACCACGAAATGAGACTTTACAACTGAACTTCCTACCAGTGGGGAATGAAGGAGCCGGGTGGCCAACTCCCGGTGTCCAGCCAAAACACACAGATAGCAAAGGAGATTCAGCTTGGCTCGAGAGGCCCCCGTGCTCTTCTCAGTGGAATCAATCTGTGAGCACACCTGCTGCAAAAATTCATTCCAATCCTGGTCTTTCAGAAATACTAATTTATCTACTGGAGAGGAAAGAAAATATTAAAAGTGGGTATCATGCTAAAAAAAAAAAAAAAGCCAAAAACATTACAAAAGAAATAAGACAGAACAGAGAATTTCAATAGCTGAGAGGAGGACAAAGAAAATCCTAACTTTACAACATCAAAACCAAAAAGTCCTCCAAAGATGACACTACTTTTACTTACTCTTCTGGATTCCTCTTTTTCTATTCATGGAGACTTTTTCTCTATGTGATGGAATACTATACACAAAAAAGACACCTACAGGAGAATCAGCCTACAACCTAGAATCTAACAAAATATCAAGCTAAATAAAATCATATTACAAAAAAGCAAGAGAGCCACTGTATAAAGCTATCTAGCCTTAGGATATTGGAAAAGCCAAGAATCATGCAGTTGTTCAAAGGTTCCAATGAAATTATTGTTAAGAGTAACAGGTTAATGTGGCAGCTGAAGTCATGTGGGAGATCCAAGTTCAACCCTCTACAAACAGAAAACAAAAACTGGGCAATGAGATGCCATCCAAAATTAAGAGTTTCAGCTAATTTCTATCTTTAAACAAAATAAGCTGTAATAATAATTTCCTAAAATAACTCAAAGTAAAGGGAAAATGGGAAAGATTATTCTGATATAATAATCCTCTAAGGTTTTCATGAATAGTGGTTCTACTTGGCACAGTTTATTTAAATTTGAGTATATTTTATTTTGAATTTACTTTGATTTGATTTTAAATCCTAGATTATAGTCTAGCTACGATGACAAAGTTTTCCTGGATCTAGCTTAACAGCACAAAATAGATTTTATCAAAGAAAATACATCAAAATTTAAGGCATAAAACAATTTCTGTTTGTCCCAAATACGACTTCCCATTAGGCGAAAGGAAATGTAACAATTATCCTTGAAGTGTCTCCATTCCCACACCATCCCCACAAAAGAACCATCTGACCCCCAATGTCAACTGCCCCACTCCTGGAGTAGAATCTCATTTCTTCATTATGGTCTCCAGCCCTCTTTACCTATAGGAGCACCATAAATGTTGGAAATTCAATGGACTCTACAAGGGGGAAG